TTAGCTTCTGCCCCGCCCCTTCTACCAACAGCTGTCCTGGAGAAGAATTTCCTAAAAGCTGTTCTCTTCGGAGCATATATTTTTGGCCAGATATTTTGCAAGTGGTTCTATGTACCCACACAAAACACTCATAAAAGTGAAGAAGAATTCAGTTTGTCATGCTTGATGCCTTGAAGTCTAGCATAATGAAGTGTTACCTGCACACGACGTGGTACGTTTGCTTTCACTGGTGTGTCATCCATTTGCTTCAAAGCGACCACTACGTTATAGGTGAGACCGGGCTTGAACGTGTCACCTTGTTTTTCCACGTCCAATTTCACATCGTAGCGATATGTGGAAATCTTAATGAATATACTCAAGAACGTCGAGTAAAGAGTCGAACATATTCTTTCATGTCGCGCCACGCATTAGACTGCCATTCAGAATTTAAGCAATGTGAGGGTGTGTCTCACGGTGGATCATGAAAATCACGAGTTCTCAGAGCGGCAAAACAATTGACAATCAATTGTAAGAAGCGGAACCACCAGGAGAGGGGAGACGCCCTAGGACGTACATATTGAACTCTTTATCTAGCCTAGACTTAATATTCGACCCCAAAAAATGCGCCAGCCTGATGGAGCGCTTTTGTGAACTTTTTAAATCACTGGGCCACTTTCCTTGCAAAGCATTGGCAGAATGGATTTGGCTCAATACGGCTCGTTCAATTTGGGTTGAAGTTCATTCAGTTGGGATTCAATATTGGATGGTGGACATCTATGTCATACGTGGAGTACAAAAGTAGAAAAGAACAAGGATTCGCTATGATGGGCCTTTCAAGCACTACCGTATCATTCTCTTCAGAATATGGCACTAATCAAGCATCACATCGAAACCTATCCAGTGGTGTTGTGGTCTCTCTTTGAGCGCGAGTGGATCTGTGGAATAAGAAAGTAGGGGGTCTATTATAAAAGAAGACAGCATCCTCTCCCAAGAAGATACGCCCCATGAGAAACAGAATCGGTATTAGGCGCATGCACGAATTCACATTTGTTCATGATTGTTACCGGCAGTACTCGAAGACGTGGAACATTCCGGCAGATTCGTCACTGCCACCATGGCCACAGTACAATTCCAATTCAGTTTTGTAAGCGTGTTACAACGACAGCTAGGAATGTGGGGGAATGGCAAGTGGCGTTATTGTAGCTACTAGATGAAATTAGGGTCAAAATCCGCTCAGGCCAACAAGCCTCTTGCTTACGAGACTGTTTATTTGGTAACAGATACGGATGAAAGCCCAGCAGTGGGTCAGCGCATATGCATTCAAATACTGCTCTGATACCAGCTGGAAGTCTAGCGCGTGGCGCGACTCAAAATAAGTCGGTTCAACCCTTTCTAGATTTAATTGAAATTTATAAACAACCAACATGTTGAGTGCCATTCCTTTGAATGTCGGTGAGATCTTCGGTGACTGTGGCGATGATGCGAATACTACCACCTCCGTAATCCTGCAAACTGTTACCATTGAAAAACTCTCACAAGAACTAGTCCTAAAAAGCATATAAAACAGGTTTCATCTGCGTCATCATGCGTTGATATATTTTTGTAAAATCACGAACTCCTTCTCCCCTCCCTACTACAAAGCCACGTCACTTGAATTACCCACTATAACTCATCGAGAACACTCTGCTCCACACCACCGAGCGCCCGAACACCGTGGAGTGAAGTTATGGCAGCAAATATGTCTAATTCTTCACGTTCAAGCTGTAGTTTGGGAATTTTCCGAAATCCGAAAAAGTAGGACATGATAACGACCCTCCCCTCCTGCAACCAGACGCCCTTAGGAGTCTACTATAATCCCACTCCACTCGATGGACTATACCAACGGACGGTTGACCTTGCCTGCAACCGAGAGTATCCTGAGACCATCAATTCTCACAAAACGATGCAACCGTACCTGTACTAATTTGTGCTTCTTCATTTCCTCGTTAGTGAAGACAACGGTGGCTTCACCCATATTGTTCAATTTCACAGTGCGTTCGATCTGTGACTCTTCCTCGACCTGAAACCGTCTAATACTATGACTAATGTACTGGTTGTAAACGAAGCTCGGTAAGATCTGATCAATCGTTGTAACATATCATTGAGAGCATTCCGAACACCTTGAGCGAAACACATTTTGTAAAATATTTCCAAAGAATTTTACCTGAGAAGTGGTTCCGTCATCGTTCACAATGATCGGCTTAGGAATCGGATTGCCTACTGTGCCGATGCAGATGCCAGGGCTACCTTTGCCTTACTCGGCAACAATCCCCTTTCCATAAGTTATCTAAAGAAGTAATACGAGCGATCGGTGCCAAAACCAAGAGAGTTACGCCATGTTTTTAAGTATTTCTCAAAAGGGGGAGAGCTTAAGTGAACACACGAAAACGACAAGCAACCGATTGTCTAATCAAAAGAGCATCGTAATAAGGGGGATCTGCGTTTTGACAATGAGTTAGTAATTGCCACAGCCCTAAATTTTGTCACGGGATAGGTGTGCAATAAATCCCAGGAAGTCACAAAAAAGGCGATCTGGTCATTCCTCCTGTGCAGCACGGGTGAACTCGTGCTATTCACATTTTTTTGCTCAAAAGAAGCTAGGAGCTATTGATGTTTTGGAATAGTTCAAAATCCATGACAGTGAGAAAGCAGTCAGCCAAGCTCTCAGTGCATAGTTTGCCTGACTGGGCTTGGAAGCAGGGTCAACCGTCAGTTGGACCAATTTCGAAAATTTCACGACCCGCCCCTTCCCCCTCAGAGGGCCTCGATACACCCCACTCAGTTAAACTTCAGCAAAGACAATCGCCCACTTTCCCTCCAAAGTGCCTCGAGCGGAGCGAGGGATTGGGGGGTATTAATATAAGGGCAAAAATTTCCGTGGCACTAAAACAGCCTAATCCATTCCATTCCCTTCCCTTTCTGCCGGCTACCTCGCAAAATACGACCCCCTCTCTTCCTCCCCCAAATACACCCTCCCACCCCCTTTGGACTTTATCCAACGGACGGTTGACCCTGCTTGGAAGAAGCCTATCAGAACAGGACAGGGCATTACTGCATCTAGCCACAAAGTCATCCCTCTCCTCTTCTTAAAATAACCCAAACAAAATTCAAAACCTCTCAATCTCCTAAAGCTTCTAGTGTCGTTTCTGGCAGTTATAATTGTGATCGGAAAATGAAATAAGAAAAAATTCTCAAATTCAAAATAAATAAAGAAACTCACTTAGCATCAACAAGTAACGAAAGATCGTCGTTGACTGTGATGAACGATGGAGTTTTGATGGTCACTTCAAACTTTGGCAACACGTACTGCAATATAAGATTAAATGTCTTTTAAATTAAAGGAGTACGGTAGCAAATGGAATGAAAAGCGAAAAAAAGAGAAAAGGATAGAAACTCTGTCATAATTGGAATTTCTCATTGTCTGGGCGTTAGTTACCTTTTCGACAGAAAATGTCTTGGTGTATTTCAGTTTGTTGGCCGTCTCCACTTGAATCTGCCATTCGCCGAGCGGTGGCTCCGATGCCAGTTCCAGCTCCGACGAGAACACTCCTAATATGGCATGATTCATTAAATAGACAAAGGAATAGAGGATAGAACGTTGCACTTGTCTTTTCGGGATACGCCACGCATTACACGCTATTCAAAATCGTATTGGCATTTGAACGCGATTTGGCTACGCACGACTTGCATGAGTCTGCCGATGTAAAAGAAAACAAGATTTTCGCCTTTTCAAACAGAGTTAGTATGAACTGAGGGACGCGACCCCAAGGGGAGGAAGGCTTGGTGGCCTAGACAGCGAGCGATCCAAGACTGATCCGCAAGTGGTGCGCAAGGTAAGCAAGATCACTTGCCCCTACACCACATCCGCCCTCTGATTAGACAAAAATGTGATGGCAAAATACCAATGGGTGCCCCTTTGCTGTATAAAGCCTGCACCAATACAGCTTGTAGG